TAAATGCAGTTCGCTTGTATAATAATTCAAAAAATTACAATTCTTTTTATATTGAAATTTTTAAAATAATTATGATTTTGATCAGTAATTATAATGAGTTTCTAAAACCAATACTATTAATTATTCCATCAACTGTTCAAGGTGTGATCCTATATCCTAAATATGATAATATCATCATAATAGTTACTGTTATTTTACCTGTTGCAGCATCACTCATATTTCTGCATCGAAAAGTTCAGATGTCTCAGGCTCTGGAACCTCAAATACATCCAAAACCTAAAATATTTCCAGAACTTAATGAAATTCTTGGATTTCTAAAACTTTTTTTTGTGGAGTTAATGACAATTTTTATTAAATTTTGTTTACTTGGTGTATGTTTTATAGCAATGATAATAATTGTTATATTAGTTGCTTTATTTGTTTTGTTTTTGTACGGTACTGTCACGTTTTTTGAGTGGTATATTGTGCGTACTGCTACGGGTATTATTTATTTTATTATAGGTGCTATTTTATTTTTGTTTTCGCTAGGATCTGTGCAATTTCTAATACAATTATCCTTCACAATATTTAAGAGTCTTCCTAATATTTATCTATTTAAAACTTTGTTAGAATTTTCAGTATATGTAGTAATTTATTTAATAACGAATCTCGGCATTTAAATTTGTAGCTATTAATTTAGCTATGTATTTTTTTTACTAAATTTAACAATAATAATAAAGTTTTCTTTCACTAAAAAAAAGGGTGAAAAATAACATTGATTTGTTACTGCTTTAAAAATAATTTTACAAAATTTATTTTCACAATTAAATTAACCAGGAAAATAATATCAATTGGTACATATTAATTAGTATGTTTACCATTTGTTGCTATTATTATCATTATTAATACTTATTTAAATTACCTCTCGTTGTACCAGACATTTTTTTGATTAGGTCTTAAAGTAATTTAAACATATTTCTATCAATCTGAATCCTTAATTTCTGATTATAGTAAAAAATAGTATATCTCAACTATTGTTTTTGGAAGCTTGGTAATTTAAATTTTAGTAATAATATTATTACGCGCTAAAAAAAAATCATCAAAAAGCATATTGATTTTTTCTTCTAAAATGAAATCTGCTACGCCAAAACAAGTTATTTAGTTAAGAAATAATTTTATATTCACCTTAGAATAATTTATTGTTGCTGACTTGAAAATAAAAATAAATACAGTCCCCGGCGAAAGTAATGGCGGTATAATGAAACATTATTTTTGCTAAGTTTTTATTAAGTAAATCGATCTTTTTATATTAAATAAAGTTGTTCACAA